GTTGTATTTGAAGCCACTTGTTGCTTTATGATGCTACAGATGAGAAATAGGACAGAGCAGACGCAGTCGAAGGGGGGACCTGCCCATACCCAAGAGGGAGGGTGCCAAGAAGGAATTCACATCAATTTGGACGAAGTCACACAATTCTCCTATCTTCCAGGAAGCTCAACAGCACTAAAGAGTAAGTGCTTATGAGACAGGGGTATTGATCATGGTCAATTAGTAATTCTTTTTGTTTGTTTGTTTGCTCAGAAGCTGGTTTTGACTACTTATATGATCGATGTAAGCACAGAAATATCTTAGATAAAGCCAAGATTCCTTCACTGTAATATGCTTGAATAAGTCTTTTTTTACAGCACTGCTGGAGAAGGGAAGTGTTGAGATTTTATAGAAAACACGGAGAAGGGGAATTAAGCCACAAATAAAGGATGTCTCCCCCAACAAAGTTCCTGTAAGAAATAACTCTACCATCGCCTGCCCTCCTCACATTTATAACCTTTCATGAAAGTGTTGCATCTTAAATCAGCTGAACATACAATAACAGTAGCTTTCCAGGAAAGCTAATAATGGAATAAGCAATAAATAGAGCAGAATTAGAAAACAACAAGGATGAAGCAAATGCTGCTGATATAAGGAACATCATAGTGAAAAGTTAATGGAGATCTGTTCTTCTATTGCTGTTTATTTAGCAGACAGGAAAAAAAAAACTCGCAACAACCCTAAGCACATTCATTAAGAAAAAGTACTGAAAAATATGAGTAAATTAAGACAAGTCGGTAAATGAGCATTTTTTATGCCATGATAATTCAAAAATTTGTTTTGAAGTTATGCCTTGTCAATCCAGCAGCAGTATTAAGGCAACTATGAATAACTGAATTAAAATTATCCCAAAATGTATATAAACAACACATTGATCATCATTTACAATGAAACTGCACAAGCAAAAAAGCTGTATTTATTCCGCAACAGCAGACGAAAAAAAATGTTTGTGTATTTCTCAGGATGAATTAAAAAAACCCAGAATATTTTCCTGAAAAATATTAAAACCATGGCAGAAATTTAAGATAATAAAGCAGTATTGGCAAGCTTTTTGAACTGTTAAAAAAATCCAGTAAAATCTCTCCGCATCTGGAGCCTACTTTTCAACTTGAGAAAAGAGCAGAAGTAAAAAGAGCCCGTTCATTTCCAACTACAGAAGAGATGAAGAGACACAAATTTATAAAGCTAATACAGTGTGATGGGCATTTTTGCACCAAGATGGAAAGAAAATGAAATAGGATCCTGCAAATGTGTTGGCTGAAGTCTCTGGAAGAGACCTAGTAAGGGACCATCTGAGCCACATCTGGAATTAGCCACTTCAGGAATTTTCACTTTTAAGAACTAAAAAAATCATGAGTTTCAAAAAAGAAAGAGAAAGGACATTGAGGGAGGATGAGTACAAAACCTTCACTATCAAATTATAGTAAATACACTGTTTTGTTTCACTAAGTCTTGTGCCAGAAAAGTCTAACAGAACACAAGACATGCAAATCCTATCACGAGGCCTCTGCCTTAAAACTTTACTGCAAAGTATTTTCCTTAAGATGTGAGGAACTAAACTAAGCTGTACAGAAAAAAAGGATTACTTTTTCCTAACATAATATTTCTGAAGCTGCAGCAAATTTTTAAATTTCTTCCAAATTATAAAATATTAAATAAAATATATATATACAAAAAGCTGAATGTTTCACACCCCACGGTCTTCCTAGGAATTCAAAATCAGCTGGTAGCCTTCACTTCTCATACCTCCTTACTAAAAAAGCACTAGGGAATTGCTGACAGGGTTCAGCATTGTGCAGAATATTAAATATCTTTTTTGCAATACCCTGGTGACTCTTGAGCCTGTCTCTTGCAGCACCATATGTACAGCTGTGTTGGAAAGAGGAAGCTATTAAATATATTAAAAAGTAGAAATATTACCAATAGACACTTCATCAAATAACTGGATCTCATTCATCCCCAAACAAAGCAAGAAATGTTAAGGTTACATCAACATAAGAAAATAACTCTGGATTTAATAACGCCACAAGCCTGTTGAACATATTTGAAAGTAAAAACATAGCTTAATAAAACAGATTAGTGTTTCTGAAACAATGAATATAGATTTCAACCATCAGAATGCTTTGGTAACAAAGACATTGAACTTGGGCTTGAAAGGCACTGCGTGTCTCAGTTCCCACACCACAGCCACAGCTAGAAGGTCTTCAGGTCCAAATATATTACCCTGATTTTACTGGCAACACAGGACTAGGAATATTTTGTATCAAAAAGGATTTAATAAAAGGGACAAAAGAAAGAGCGTTTTGTTTGAGATTGTATTTGCAAATCTATTTTTGAAAGTTTGCCCTCCTCCCACATGCACGGACAAATATCACATCCACATCTCCAATGAATGCTTAAAGGAGACAGCAACAGCACACCCGCATCGCACAAACACACAGACAACCAGGAGACCTTTTCCAAAACATCTGAACAGGTAAGGACTGTGACTTATTTTTTCAAAAGAGAGTTTCTAAAAGGAGATTTTCTAAGTTTCTAAGCACCGAAAGCCACCGAAGGAAAAGTGGACTTTCAGAGGCTCCCATCTCATAAGAATCTGAGTCGGCATTAAGTGAGTACGTGCTGCCAAAAATCCCACTAACCGCCTAGCCGCACTTTTACACTTGTAAGACTTTTACAAGTATGGCTGTTCGGCTCTAGAAGCCTAACACCCATCCATTTTTAAGAAGATTTGCAATCTTAAATGCTCAAGTAACTTCTGAAAACAGGACTTGAGCTGTTTGTAAGAATTTCCCCGTAGGCTCCATCTTCCGCAGCGCAACTCGCAGGCAAAGCGCAGAGCACGTTCACATAGCGTGAGCTCCTCTCGCACTTCAGAGAAAGAAATGAAAAAATAAAGAACCCCTACACAGCTTTTATATGAAGTGCCACTTCATACCAAAATACTGAAGAGATCTGACTGCTTATTTAACTATCACCAGGACTACGTTAATTACCCCACTCACAATTTTTCGCAGTAATTTTGTAAGACTCCGATACTACTTTTGAAACATTTGTGCATATGGTTCCTCAAAGAGAGAAGAGATTTTGTTACTCACAGTAATACATGAATAATTTACATATTTTCCTCCAGCTTCATTCATTCACCTTTTTTTCTGTAGGTGTTTAAACTAAGGCAGTTGCCTACTGACTGGCAAGATAATTACAACTGATGATTAAGGAATATTTAAGATGCATGTCTGAAGTGCACTGAAACTTCTTGAATCGAGTGTAAATAGAAATTCAGACCCTAAGGCTACAGGCATTCACCATGTATTGCATCAACATAACTGGTTTATCCTTAAAAAAGATAAGCAATTAAAAAGTATAATACTTCAGCTCATGAACCCACAAGAGATTCTGCACAGACATGTTCTTTCTTATTATATGGTTAGCAAACACACTGCTTTGCTAAAAATTCCGTCAACAAAATAAAACTCAACACCAGGGCAAAGACAACCTAACACCAGGGCAAAGACAACCTAACGCCAGGGCAAAGACAGCTTTGACTTGTCTTTACTGCTCCTTCAACATCAGCCATTGCACATAAGCAGGACCAGGTTTTGAGATGGTTTCCGCAGAAACAGTTGCCTGATCAACAAGACATGGCTGATGTTGCTGTTCCATCCACCTCCAACTGCTTGAGACCCTGCTGGAGGTTCAGGCCTCCCCACCACAATCAGTGACAGATAATGAGCCACTTTAGTCAGTTTCAATCGAAGCCCAGCATCTCACCATAGACCCACCATCACTAACAGAAGAAATACCAGACTTTAAATTAACAGCTGGGGTTTGGGCCTTTCTACCCTACTGAAGAGACACTTAAGGAGGAAAGGCACCTGGGGCAGGTACTTTTAAGCACTATAAAAAGATGCGTCCATGCTCATACATCATTACCTACACATTGTTAGCTTGGAGGACTCCATGCTGCTCTTGGACTACTTCTGTGGGATAAGCATAGCTAAAACAAACACAGATCACACAGTCACAGGCATGCCTGCAGCACTTTTACACCCACAGTTTATTCCCAAACGTGTTGAAGGATAAATTACACTGGTACCAGGCATCTTCGCGCAACCATGTCTTAACTAGAAATTACAGCAATTTTACCCACTTAGTTGAAAAACCCAGAGAGTTAGTTATGTTTTAGACAAGTTTACAGTTCAGCCTAATAAACTGCTGTGATGCTTAGTATTAAAATGCTGTGATGCTTGTATTTTTGTCTTTTTTTGTCTTTTCAATTTTTATTCCAGTGCCAGAATTTGCTGGCAAACAGCAATTTTATTTGACAAAGGCTTACGTAGGTAATGATGGAAGCGACTGCAGCAACAGAAATTTCTCTTCAGCCTTCTCTGTTGAGGCCTGCAGCACAAAACAGCCTGCAGGACTGTGGCCTAGGACTAATCAGGATCAAGCACTGTTCTGCTGGGGTAAACCATCATTAAGTTACAGTTCACTGACCACTAAAACATAAATATAGAATATTTAAAGACGTTTGGTAGCAGAAAATGAAGGAGAATATTCTTAAAGAGAACAACACCAGGCTTCAAGGGAGTCCAAGTCTCATACATGGTTCAAACTGAGGTAGCAGTTGATTGGGGATATGGCCCTGAGCAAAACGAAGAAAAACCTTTAGAAAAACAGACTGTAATGAGTGTATGTCACACGCAGAACTGTCAAAAAACGTTAATGTTATTGACAGTTCTTCCCTGTGCTGGGCAACCACTGTGATTACAGTAAACTCTCTAGAAGAGGTCAGGCCACACTGACATAACTGTATACATTAGGGGCTTTGAACACCCCACAGAAGAGAGAAACATCCCAATTTCATTTCAAAGTAAGCTGACATGTACGGCTACTATTTCCCACCCTCCCCAAGTGCACAAAGACTACAAATTATAATGAAAAAACCCAACCGTCACTTACTCTGTTTTCCTTCTTTGCTTGTCTTCAAATATATCATTCAGACTTATGGACACCTGTCCCAAAAACTTGTCCAGCCCCACCAGCGACCTGTGCATGACAATCAGGTACAGGATGTATTTTTCTGGATTCTCCTGCATGAGTAATCCAGGGAGCTCGAAGGAGGCCTCTTCCTTCCAGACAGGATCCAGGGTCTTCTCAGCCACCGAGGTGGAGTACTTCTCCTTGCCCAGCTGTATGATGGTGTAAGCATCGTTGCTGCCATTTTTACCTTTTGGCTTCAGACCTTTGGCTTGAAGGACCGTAACTTGCACGTGAGTTGGGAACCACTTCTGGGCTTGCTCTGCCAACATCATCTTCGAAGATCGCAGCAGCAGCAATAACAAGCACAAAGTCTCCAAGTCTTCAAGTAGCTGCGTTAAGGGCACTTACGTGTGGCGAGACACCCGTCAGGGG